GTGCAGGTCACGGGTTCAACTCCAGGCAAATGTGCAGATACTGTACACAGGTAAGCTGAGGTCAAAGGATCGACCCCTGGGATCTGCATCGGCTACTGCCAAAGGTGAAAACTGTTTCAGATAGATGCAAGCACGTGGAGGAGGGTGTAGAAGTTTAGGCGATCTGGTATTTGCAACACAGTTCAACTGACTGAAAAGGGGTAAAAAAGCAAGGTGACTTGTGTGAGTTGTCCTTGCATGCAAGCCGCCGGGGTCGACTGGGGAGGCGGATCATCCAACTGCCATAGCCTCTCTTAAAGCACCAGTACAGCGCACATCGGTCCACGGGTGTGTCAGCACAAAACCCGCAACACTTCGGAGACCGCCAGTTTTTTTTTTCGAGGGCGCCCCATGCCGCAGCGGCCCCTCCGAGTTTTGCTTGTGGCGACAAAAAGTTTCTGCAAGGCTGGGGCCGTGCACTTGCGGTTTAACCGCCATTTGATCTATGGCGCTCGGCCTCCTAAATTTCGGTCGCTGGCCACCAGTACATGCCAGCTATCGGTCGCGGGCCCCTTTCGGAGGCCGCCCACTGCCGATTCATTTGATCTACGGCGCTCGGCCTCCTAAAATTTTCGGAGAGGCTCGAATCAGGTTCTCCAGTTGCCTGGGGCCATGTACTGGTGGTTTAAGCGTCAGTGACTCCTGCCACAGGCAATGTATTTTCCGATAGCATTCCTTGTGCTTGATATTGCCTTTAGCTTCCCTACAGGAACAGCGACAACCTCATGCTCCTAACTCCTGCTTAAACCGCCAGTACACGGACTCAGCCTTGCTGAAAATGTTTCGTTGCCTGGTCCAAAAAGTCAGCGCCGGCACACCGTCGATTAAAAAGAGTGGCGGCCGGCGTTGCTTTACGGCCTCTGACAGGGGCCCGCAGCCGATGCGAGGTGTGTACTGGTGGTTTAAACGAGTCTGTAGAGCAGGAAACACAAAGAAAAGAAAGGGAAAGACCTTTAAGGAAGCCAATTGAGCCAGAGACACCAGACTGATTCACAGGGGGCAAAAAAACAAAAAAACAATGAGAAAGAAAGGAAAGACTCAACAAAAAGAAACGGGATAAAAAAGAACCTTTCTCATCCTTTTGGGTTAGATCAAGTGTAGAGAAAATTTTGAAAAACAAAACAATAAAAGATCACGTAAAATGTGTTCTGGAAAAACAAAAAAAAACAAAGTGTTCTGAAGAATCTGAACTTATGTGCATTTTAATATCTTATTATTAAACCACCACTGTACCTCGTATGCAAATTCACCGCCCGACGGACACTTGTCACGCCCAGGCCTCGTAGGCCCTGAAACAGGCCTTAGAAAGGGCCTAGACCGACGGTTGACCAAAAGGTAAAAAGACAACTCGTTGACCCAGGCACAGATCCGAGAAGTCAAAATCAACACACAAGATTTCCTGGCTGACGATCTGGAATGATCTAACAGTGGTCTGCAGGTTCCAGAAGATTCAGACCTCAAGGAGTCCAGACTGAAACTGGGACAAATCAGAAGAGCCGGGCGCTCACGTGGACTGACGTTGACTTTGGACAGGCAAGTCAACACTATATATTGTTGACCTCGCCACTGCTTGCGCATTCAGTCTTGCTTGCGGCTACGAGGCTGCACGTGAGACGTGAGAGTAGATGCTGGCGCCAGGCTGCTGGATGGGCGCCAGCCAGATATTGTAGTATAGAGAGAGGGAGAGCAACCATGGATGATGGCGAGAGAATGAGGAGAGAGAGAGAGAGAGGAAGAGTGTGGGTGATGTGAGTTGTCGAGCGTACGTACCTGGTTTCTTCAGAGGCGGAGCTGCTGCCAATTCTGCTATCTGCGAGAGGCTGTTTCCGTATCGTCCACATGTCTTACAGAGTACAGATAGCTGACGTGGCACATTGAGTGCGTAGTGCTGATGTGGCGCATTGAGTACGCATTGCTGACGTGGCACATTGAGTGCACAGTGCTGACATGGCACATTGAGTACACATTGCTGACGTGACACATTGAGTGCATATTGCTGACGTGGCGGAGGTGGGGAGCCTGGAGGAGAAGAGGGACTGTACTTCTCTTCCCATCTGTCTATTCTCCCTCCTCTCCTTTCTGATCTGTATACTATCGACTTGGGACACACCCGGAACTAAGGAACCATGTACTTTGATGACATCAGATTGATGAACTTGTTGAAGTGAGTATCTCACAACATTGCACGACATTACTGTTTGGCGACATGATTGTCTGACGCGACTGGGTTGATTACAACCACTACCTTTCACGCTGTTGGGAAAAGTGAGAATATAACCTATGCCGGATTCTTTGGGGGTTGGGCCCAATGGCGGCCGCCAGTGATAAATTTCATCAGCAGCCTATGTTGCATTTCCGGCCTCCGAAACTCGCGGGGCCTCGCTCGCGGCCGATCCATGGGAAAGGTTCAACTTATGAAGGGGAAAAAAACAGGAAAAAAAAAAAAAGTTCAAAAAATACAAGAAGAGGGGTAGAGTACACTCACAGTGTCATCTGGCGACCGATGAAATTTTGTGCCAAATGTCATATCCTCATTTGAGGGCAGCTTATCATCCCAAAGTCCATAGTGGCGGATGACCTTTCCCGCTTGTCGCTGAACTGATTGCCGATATCTGCATAGAAAGTTAGGAAAAGCGATTGACAAAAAAAGAGTACAGAGAGTTTTTTTGAGTCTTTTGACTCTTTTCAGTCTTGACTCTTAAATCACCAGTACGATTCCCAGCCTTTTTTTTTTTTTTTTTTTTTTTTTTTTTAACAAGACTCCCTTGGGTTGCTAGAGGTATTGGCGCAGTGGGTAGCAGCAGCAAAATCGCGGGTTGGGCCTGCTGGTGATGGACAAGACTGGCAGTGCCAGGCAAAAAGACGCAATTCCTTTTTTTTTTTCTTTTTTTTTCCGCACACAACACACACAACCCCCCGAGTTGGGCTCATGTTTGTTTTCATTTTTGTTTCCGGCGTGCAGCAGAAGTCTGGGTCGCAAAAAAGAGGTTCAATGGTAGGGTACAAAATTGCAAATTTAAAATTTTTCCTTTCCAGGGTTCTCAGAGCTACTACCCTCTTCCTCCGAATAGAGTGTGGGGTCATTGTATCTGTACTTAGCCCAGTTTCCCAGTCAGATGCAGATTTGATGACTCCATGTTCCAGAAGGAAGAAGACAACACATTTCAAAAAGTTAAGGGGGAAACTCTCCACAAGTCCCAAATTCCCACTGCTCCAAATCTTACAACTGCTGAAACTTGTACTTCAAAAAATGGAAAAAAAAAAAAAAATGCTTGGGACCTGCTGAGGTGTTCCACTGTTCCACCGCACAGCGCTCCCAGCCACGTCACGCAGGAGTTAAACGAAACAAAAACAGAGACAAGTTGGAGACAACGCAAAATAACAAATCATAAAACCTCCCACCAAATAGTGTAAGGGTTAGGGTTTAGGGTTTAAGGAAGGGAATGGGGAGGAAAGCACAGGCATAGAGTGGCTGTTTAATTAGGAAGGCGGGTGTAACAAAAGTTAAAATAGGTTCAAAGTTAGTCGAAGGTGTTTAGACAGGGTAGTTGACATTGGGACAGAGGGTAGGACCAGTGGAGGCAGGGAAAGAAGAGGACATGTTAGTAGACTGTTTTTTTTTTTTTTTTTTTTTTAAGGGTTGCGGGGTGTCAGGGATATGACCGAGGGAGGAAGTCCGGCACGGGGCTTTACGCGTCGGGTTCAGCCCACCTTTCGGCACAGCAGGCCCACCTGCTCACTCAGAAATCACTCAAGACTGGGACTCTCAGTGGAAGGGGAGAAGAGAGACCTTGCTACACACCCGGAAGTATCAGCCTGCACCGGAGCTACAAGAGTGCTGCGTCAGGGTGCACCCCCTTCAAACTCAGGGTCCTGAATCCCCGAGGCGCCCGGCCGGGAGGCCAATGCACCGCAGTCACCAGGTGCTGTGGGGATCAGAGTCACTCCTGCTAGGAGGGGGTGAACCCTTCACTCATCCCGTACTCATCCCCACTGAGCCTGCCCCTCCTAGAGCTGTCTCCCCCCATTGCCTTCAGCAACCCCAAGGGAGGCGCGCGCCAGCCGTTCCAGAGGACCCAGGAATATACAGGGGGCTAGTATCTGCTGGGCACCCTCTCAGGTGGACCCCAGGTCAGGTCTTTGCCCATGTACATCCGTGCCCCCTGGTCGCACGTGCACTAAGTGTGTGAGTGGTAGCGCGTCAACCTAACGCCCTGCTGGCGGCCTATGAGGCTGTGGGGTTTTGAGCCCGCAACCTCAGACCACAACGTGCATTTCCAACCGGTGCCCTAACCACTGGGCCATCCGGCATAAGTTTTAAATCTGTGGTTACTGGTCTTACAGGTCACGTTATAAGCGAATCTGGCTAATCCTGCCAGGATAACTCTGGGTCGAATTACGAGGTCCCCGGCCTCGAATTTCAATCTATTAAGGAAATGGTTATCCTTCGGAAAAAAAGCAGGCATGAGATCATTGAGATGTTAAACAGAAATGATAGAGAAAATAAAAAATAAAAAATAAAATTTTAGTATTTTAGTATTTTATGGTTTTTTATCAAAATAATTAAATAATTTATTAAGTATAATATTATATTTTTATTTTCGTATTATTTCATTTAGATGAGAATGAGCTCCCAAAACTGCAGTTGTTTTCCAGCGGGTCAAGTCGATTCGTTGCATGCCTGAGTCGCACTATGGCTGTGTCGGGTGCTGGGTTCAGTACCTGCTCAGACACCCCAGCCCCCCACCCCCAGCCAATCGCTGACGATATCATGCCTTGGGGGCATGCTACTCTATCGATCGAAACAGAAAACCCGTGCAAAGGTACATGTGACCCCCTCCATGTCGTGAAATGGAACAGCGTCTGTCGTCATCTCACTCAGGCGCTGGGTTCAAGACCACAATCGGTGCACATGCACCCCACTCTGCAGTGTTTACGAAAGGAGAGTAGGTAGCAGCCACAGGTATGTGAGACCCCCTGAATGATTGGAGGGCAACAGCACATTGTAAATCGTCACACATTACTCCTCAAAGATTGGAGGGCAGGTAGCAGCTGAATTTTGATGGACTTCATGTCCTACTCCCCTCGTTGTAACACCCCATCCTGGTTGCAGAATGCAATGACGCACTCTTTACCTACCATAACTGCTACAGATCTCTCTCTCTCTCTCTCTCTCTCTCTCTCTCTCTCTCTCTCTCTCTCTCTCTCTCTCTCTCTCTCTCTCTCTTTCTTGTGCTGAGAAATGGATCTTCGGCATTTTACACTTAGTGTATGCAGGTAGGACGACAGAAAATTTTAAGGCAACCATAGCTGGACAGAGAAGAAATTTGCCACCACCGGCACCAGGAAGATGAGGTTTGAAAGAAGGAAAAAAAAGAAGATGGGTTTGGGGATTGCAGAGGGAAGAATGTGGGAGAAAGTTCAAGAAACACAAAGAATAACAACGACAAATAAGAGAGGAGGGGAAAAAAAAAAAGAGAGGAACACTTGGATCACTCACTTCTTGATGTGCTGAGGAGTATGCGGCCCCTTCGCCAGGAGTTCACTCGCCATCATGCATTCAGCCACCCTATCTGATTTCAAGATAACTTTCCCTGCCTGCCTCGGTCAAACATTCCCCGATCGCCCCCTCCTCCTCCTGTCTCTTATACACATCTAATGTGTATAAGAGACAGCTCCAATTCAAATTCAAATGAAGTAATAAAGTTATATGTTACCAATTTGGGATGAAAGAAAAAGAATAAGTTGCAGCATTTTGAAATCAAGGATGGAAATTTAAATGAATAAATAAGTTAAAATAAGTTAATACCAACTGGCCTAGCTCAGTTGGTATACACATGAACCAATGAAATACAGACCCGAGCTCGAATTCCGATGGATAATATCCGAAGACCGTCGCCCTTTAAATGAAAAAATAAATTAAAATTAGAAGATATCTAGGCTACCAGAGTGGCCCAGGATCACTTGCCCGGTTGGGGCAAAAAAAAAAAAAAAAAAAAACATTTTCAAATTTAAATTTGGTAAAGAATTTCGATGTGACCTTCACTTTATTTTGCTGCATGAAAAAAATTATTAATTTGTTTTCAGATTACTTTTTATTATTATTATTATTATTTTGTTTTTGCTGGGACCTTCTTTGGTCCTTGCACGGCCGGGCCATCTGGGCAAACAAGGTTTTACCCGGGCGGCTGGGATGGTAGCCTAGGTAGATATTTAATAAATATCAAGCAATAAATAATATTTTATTGTTTTAACTATTTAACTAGGCTACCATCCGGGCCGCCCGGGTCACCCTGTTTTCCCGGGCGGCCCGGCCGTGCAAGGGCCAAGGAAGGTCCCAGCAAAAAAAAAAAAAAAACTATGTTATGCAAAAAAATAAGTTGAACAACTTTTGCCTCAGGGTCACATCGAAATTCTTTACCAAATTTTAAATAAAAATTTTCATTCAAAAATCTTTTTTATTTTTTATTTTTTTATTTATTTTTGGCCCGGCCGGGCAAATGGACCCGTGCCACTCTGGTAGCCTAGTTGTTTAACATTTTATTCTCGAATAAAACCAAACACAAGCAGTGTTTAACGTAGACATCAAAACTACCGTTGTCACCCGAATAAAACGCCCCGTCATTATCTCTGCATCTGGACTCACGTTGCCGCAAGTACAGCGATAATAATCGGGCATTCTATTCGGGTGACGACAGTAGGCCAAACCCGTGAGGAGTTCACAAGCGGTTAACGGGTAGCTGAAAATTCAGGAATGAAAATTCTGAAGTGAGAGTTTTTGGCAGTCTGAAAATCCCGAATGGTCCTGAAGTGGTGGAAGGTCCAAAAACCCTAAAAACCACCTGTTTAGGCAGGCTGCATCCTGAAGTGGTGAAGTGAGAGTTTTGGGCAGTCTGAAAATTATGAATGGTCCTGAAGTGGTGGAAGGTCCAAAGACCCTGAAAACCACTTGTTTAGGCAGGCTGCATCCTGAAGTAGTAAAGGGTGTCCTGAAGTGGTGAAAGGTTCGAAGACCTTGAAAACCACCTGTTTAGGCAGGCTGCATCCTGAAGTGGTGAAGGGTGTCTTGACGTGGTGATGAAAAATACGACTGTTGTTAACCTTCTCTCGAGGAGTTAAGAGTACGGAAGACAGCCTAAGGGCACATTCACACTACCGTCTTCACCCGAATAGAACGCCTGGTCATTATCACTGCTTCTAGAGTCTACAGTTGGACTCTAGACTGAAAGTTGGACCAAAATGACCGGTCAAGAGATTTTTCGATGGAATCTAAGCCTTGATTAAGGTCAGATACATTCGGCATTATACTTACTATGGTAACTATGGTTACTATAGTAACTATACCCAAATTCTTATGCAATCATTAACTATTAATTTCGTGGTAATGACCAGCACACCCCGAAAAGCCACATGCAGGCATCCCGGATGTTTGTCTGGATACTGATGCCCAGATAGTTTGTGTGGAGTCTGGACCAATGAGGGAAGGCTGTCTGTGAAAACAGTTGGAGATATCAGAAGTGACAATGGTGACATAAGTCAAAAATAAAATTGACTTGGGGCTAGGCTACTAGTTGGGGCGCTCGGGTCACCTTGTTTTCCAGGGCCGCCCGGTCGTGCACGGGCCAAAAACTGCCATTTCGTCAAAATGGACATCTTTTATTTTTTGAACGAATTTGAAACCGAGTTTTTGTAAAACGTCGGACCCTCAGGAACAACAAATTTTGATGAGTTTCGGCCAAAAAACTCGGTTTCAATTTCGTTCAAAAAAAAAAAAAA